GCTCCGTTTAAAGAGTAACAGCAAGGTGTTCTTTCGATTCACTGCTAACACAAGAAGTAGCTGTCTTGTACTGTTCGTGCGTGTGTTCAACCCCTCTCCCCTTAACAGGCATCCCGTTCCCTCCCCCTCAAACACCTCTCTCTCCCTGTTGCGGACTGCCCCAAAAAGCCATACAAAAAACAAGGTGCAAGTAATAACAACGCCCCGCAGGCGAAGTAAACAGGCAAGGTTCGACTTCCGAGACTTCATTAGGTTTTGTGTCACTGGTGACCCCCAGATTTTTACATCGGAAATACACAGGGGATAAACAACATAAAACATATCCTCACCAAACAGCATTGATTTCTATAGAGCCTTATATAACCACATATACCCAGAGACAGAAAAGGGACGGAAGGGATATCCAAAGTGAGATAAAGAACCGTTAAGGAAACATAAAGACAGTTTCTGTGGACCGCGTTGACGTGGGTATTGGATCTGTGAGAAGAGACGAGAGGACTGTGACAGGGCCACATCCACCTGATAACGTGTTGCGCACTGCGAGAGGAGCAGTGAAGCACCACAAGGCGGGAAAAGTGCACAGTTGCCCATGGGCGTGGTACTGAGCTGGTTTGATGGCCTCTTCGCCAAGAAGGATGCGACCATATTGATGGTGGGGCTCGATGCCGCAGGAAAGACAACTATCCTGTGGAAGCTGAAGCTGAACGAGGTGCAGCAGACGGTCCCGACACTGGGCTTTAATGTACAGACGGTGGAGTACAAAAATATAAAGTTCCACCTCTGGGACGTAGGTGGCCAGAAGCTACTGCGGTCTCTCTGGAAACACTACTACGAGGGGGCAAACGCAATCATTTTTGTCATCGACAGCAACGACAGGGACCGGGTGGGGGAGGCACGGCAGGAGCTGGAGAAGCTGCTGAATGAGCCACTACTGGCAGGCGCAACCATCCTTGTGCTGTGCAATAAGCAGGACCTTCCGCACCGTCTGACCCCGGCGGAGCTGGTGGAACAGTTGGGCTTCCGCGACTACAGCCCGACTGGACTGGGGACTGCGATGCGTGGCCGTCAGTGGTTTGTGCAGGGCTGCTGCGCGCACACCGGCGACGGGCTTTTTGAGGGGCTTGACTGGCTGTCTTCTCACCTGCCCGACACTTCGTGAGGGGGGAACGAGCGACGTGGAAGGGAGGGGCGTGTGGGGGGGGGGGGAGGCCTTGAGCTTCTTGGTTGCGGCGTACCGATTATATTGCCTTTTGTTTTCCCTTCTGAAGAGAGTCAAGCTGTCGCTTGCACTGGTGTTGTCTCTCCCCTTGGCTGAAGAGGAAGGGTGGAAGAAGTGCAACACAAGGGAAGAGTTTTTTTTTTATTTTGGTTTTACTTCCGTTTTTTTGTGTGCGTGGTGGGCTGGGCGCTGCCGTTGCTTGGATGTGGTGCTGACGCTTCTCTCCTCTCCTCTCCTCGTCCTCGTTCTTGGCCTACTCGGCGCAGTGACCAGAGCAAGGGAAAGCCGTCTTTGTTAGCAACAATGGAGACGCAGGCCGTCGTGGAGAAGAAACCAACAAACCCGATGCGGGAGATCGTTGTGAAGAAGCTCTGCCTCAACATCTGCGTTGGCGAGTCGGGCGACCGTCTCACCCGCGCCTCGAAGGTGCTGGAGCAGCTGTGCGAGCAGAGCCCGGTGCTCTCGCGCGCACGCCTGACGGTGCGCACGTTTGGCATCCGCCGCAACGAGAAGATCGCCGTCCACTGCACCGTCCGCGGCAAAAAGGCCGAGGAGCTCCTGGAGAAGGGCCTCAAGGTGAAGGAGTTTGAGTTGAAGAGCTACAACTTTTCGGACACTGGTTCGTTTGGATTTGGCATCAGCGAGCACATCGACCTTGGCATCAAGTACGACCCCTCCACCGGCATCTACGGCATGGACTTCTACGTCGTCCTCGGCCGCCGCGGCGAGCGCGTGGCACACCGCCGTCGCAAGGTGGGCCGTGTGGGGTACGGTCACCGCGTGAAGAAGGAGGAGGCGATGAAGTGGTTCGAGAAGGCCTACGATGGTATCATCTTCCAGGCCAAGAAGAAGAAGAAGACGATGACCCGCCGTCGCCGTCGTTAAGAGGGAGTTGTGCGGCTGATTCTTTTCTGAGGCTTTCTTCGCAGAGTCACGCCATGTTTTTCGTGATTTCTTTTCTCATTTGTCTTAACATCCCCCCCCCCCCCACCCACCTGAATGTTGCATCCGCCTGTTGCCACCGCCGAGGCGCGGTTGTGCGCTCGCGTCATTGTCTGGGCCGCCTACCTCTCTCCCTCCCTCCCTCTGCATTCACCTCGCTTTTCTTTTCCTCTCTTTTTCTTATCCTATATGCTCGTTTATCGTTGCGCCTGTTTCATAGGAGGTGAAGCACGTGGTTCGGGGGTCTGAACGCACACAGATGCCCTTCTGCAACGTTACACCCTTTGAGGCGTCCCGCCTGCGGGATGCGGCAACGGGGGAGGGGGAGGAAAAGGGTGCTGTCATGGTGGAGCACGCCGTCCTGCTTGCCGAGAATATAATGGGGCGGTACGCGGAGGCGCGGTACGCCGACTGCGACTCCGCCGGCACCGATGAGTCCCCCACGTCTTCCTCGCCGTCGTGGTTTGACGCAGTAAGGGCGGATGCGGCGCGGACGGTGAGGGAGTTTCCGTACCCGTCTCTGTTTCTCCATCCTCTTCCGTTAAACATGCGCGAGCATCCGGACGCCCCGCCGCCGTTTCTGCTGGCACAGCCGACAGTAGCAGCGGACGGTGACGCTGACAACGGCGACGTGGGAGGGGCGCCGCGAGGAGGCCACCGGGCGATGCTCGTGCTCAATGGCGGGGCGCCTGCAGTGGTGACGGTGCTGCAGGGCGAATGTGGTCTCGCCGTCGTTGCCCCTCGCATTGGGTCCACGGACTCGCAAGGCGTGTACCTGCTGAGCCCCGACGCCACTTCCTGCACCATCGTGGCGTGCCGGGTTGGCCTGCACCCGCAGTTGCGCCAGAAGGTCATGGCGGCCGCGGGGGAAGCGACGGAGTCTGGTGACGGTGCGTTTGCTTGGCGGTGCTGCAAGACGTTTACGGCGGCCATGGGACACTTTGACAGCGCACGAGGCGTTGCCGAAGCGTTGTACGAGATGCTCTGGGAGACCGCGTTGCCTGCGTGGTTCCATGCGGCCCTGCACAACGGTGGAGGGACGGGCGGTGGTGGTGTGGTGGGCGCGGCGGCGGACCTCGTTGAGCGATTGCACCGCCTTTCTCAGACAGCAGCGGCAACGGACGCCGCACCTGCCGGCCTGGACGCTCCCGTACTGGTGGCGGAGTGGTTTGTGGTGGGGGGGGTGCGCAGCCGGAAGCACACGCTGCCCATTCTTGCCACCGTACTGGGTGCGTTGCTTGCCGCGGAGGAGACGGATGGCGGTGGCGCAGTCCTTCCCCGTGGAGGGCGCTGCATTCTAAGGCCGTCGTTCAGACTGTCGGATGTGCTTGGCGGGGAGAGCAAAGAGGGGGTGGGCGCAACTTCGGTGCGGCTTGCACATCGTCTTCGCGAGGACGGCGTCTGCTTCTGGAGCCTCATCACGGTGCTACGGCCCTGGGCAGGGGGGCGCGCCGGCGACCTGTACTCCTGTCCTGCCAGCTGGGGGCTTCTCGTAGACGTGGGGGGCGGCGGCTGTTGGCCCGCCACGGTGCAGCCTGGGACCCGCTGCTACCCGCTCGCGGCGCTTCGCCATGCGTTGGTGCGGTCGGGCTTCCACTGGACGTGCCCGCTGCAGCGGGAGGGGACGTTGCGCGTGCGTCGGGTGGCTGCCACGGCACGGGCGACGACGTACTTTGGCCTGAAGCTGACTCCCCCGGCAGAGAGCGCCTGCAATGTCTCCCTCGCGACGTATGTAGCGCTGTTCTTGCACCGGAGGGAGGATGCGGAAGCGGCGGAAGCGGAGTGTGCGGCCGCCCCCCTGCCCGTTTTGGTGCGTCGTGGCAAGTGGGAGAGGCTAGAGAACGTTGGCGTGCTCGACGACGTGCCCGACAGCGTCTTTCTCCTGTGCTCAACGACACCGCACTGCGAGCCCCCAGACTTCGCCGCGATAGGGCGGCAGCGTCTCAGTGTCATGAGTGAGTTTAGCGTGGCTGATGTGTTTGTGGAGGACGCTGTCGGTATTCTTGCGTGAGGACCCCGCCCGGCGCCCTTGGCGAGGCCCCCGGCGATATGGCAGACCACAAAAAAACAGGTCTATTTGTTTGTCCGCAAAAAAAACATGCCTGAGTATCACGGTGTGTGTGGTGTGGTGGTGGTGGGGATGTATCTGTGAGAAGAGACGAGAGGACTGTGACAGGGCCACATCCACCTGATAACGTGTTGCGCACTGCGAGAGGAGCAGTGAAGCACCACAAGGCGGGAAAAGTGCACAGTTGCCCATGGGCGTGGTACTGAGCTGGTTTGATGGCCTCTTCGCCAAGAAGGATGCGACCATATTGATGGTGGGGCTCGATGCCGCAGGAAAGACAACTATCCTGTGGAAGCTGAAGCTGAACGAGGTGCAGCAGACGGTCCCGACACTGGGCTTTAATGTACAGACGGTGGAGTACAAAAATATAAAGTTCCACCTCTGGGACGTAGGTGGCCAGAAGCTACTGCGGTCTCTCTGGAAACACTACTACGAGGGGGCAAACGCAATCATTTTTGTCATCGACAGCAACGACAGGGACCGGGTGGGGGAGGCACGGCAGGAGCTGGAGAAGCTGCTGAATGAGCCACTACTGGCAGGCGCAACCATCCT